AGATCGGTTTCCGCTATTCAAGACTGAAGCTGATTATCAAGAACAGAGTTTCTCAGAATTTTCTGGTAAGTTTTCAAGCCTTACCAGAAATCGGCAGCAAGGATCTCTTGATATAAGAGGTACGGTTAAAAAAAAAAAAAAAACTTCCTTTCTGCATTTTTTAGGGTTTAAGAGAAAACCCTCAAGTTTCAGGGTTCTTATTGCTTCAGGGAGGTAATCAGATTTGTCTCCTCTCCCTTTATTTTTTCTTTGCTCTTTGGAAGATCCAGTAGTTCCTTTTAACAGGACTGATACAGTTCAATCTCAATAGGCCAACTGTCACAAACTTAGGGTTTCTAAATCAGAACTCTCCTGTTATCTGCTACAGACCCAATAGGCCAATTGGTATAGTAATTAGGAAGCATTCTAATGGAGTTTAAAACCAAGGGGAGGGTGTTTTTGGGGGTTCAGGCAGCATGGTTGAAAACACCTTCCAGATTACAACTGTGAAGTTTGATGGTTCAAACTACTTAGAGTGGGCCCAATCAGCCATGATGGCCATTGGGGGAAGAGGAAAGCTGAACTATTTTTTGGGCGATGTGAAGGAACTAACCAAGGAGGATCCCACTTATGCTAAGTGGATTCAGGAAAATTATTTGGTGATGACATGGCTGTGCAACTCTATGCAGCCACACATCATCCGAAATTACTTATGGACAAAAACAGCTAAAGAAATTTGGGATGTTGTGAAAGAAACCTACTCTCAGCCCCTTAATGTTGCTAGGGCTTATGAGCTAAAATGTGAGGTCAAAAATCTCAGACAAGGGGAAAAACAGGTCTTAGTTTATTTCTCAACCCTAAAATCCCTGTGGCATGAGATTGACCACCTTGAGACGATTGAATGGGAGAGTCAGAAAGATGCATAGACTTACAGAAGGCAGATTGAAACTAACAAAGTATTTGAGTTCTTGGCTGGTCTAAATTCTGAAAATATGATATTGTAAGACAGCATCTATTGACAAGAGAAAGTGTGACTCTATCTCAAGCCTATTCCCTAGTGCACAATGAATAGACTAGGAGAAAGGTCATGTTACAGTTGCAGCCTTTCGAATCTGCCCTGGCAGCAGTTAAACCCAAGCCAAGGGGAGAAAAGGAAAGGGATATGAAGAAAGAGGCTAAAAAGGACCTAGTTTGTGAACATTGCAAGAAACCTAAACAAACCAAAGACACCTATTGGAAGTTGCATCCACATCTAGCTCCAGCAA